GTGCATTGTCAACAAGCAGTAATATTTTGAAAGAAATCTTTTTCTCTGAGCAGTAAGTCTCAACTGTGGACTTAAAATATTCAGTAAACCAGCCAGGCTTGGTGGCTCAGCCTGTAATCCCGCGCCTTGGGAGGCTGAGGTGAGTGGACTGCCCGAGCCGGCAGGTTCAAGACCCGCCTGGCAACTTGGCGAGACCTCATCTCTACAATAAATCAAAAAATCAGCTGGGCGTAGTAGTGCACATGTGTAGTTCCGGCTACTCGGAAGGCTGAGGTAGAAGGATCACCAGAGCCCAGCAGGTTGAGGCTGCGGTGGCCGGGAGCGGCCACTGCACTCCAGTCTGGGCGACAGAGTGAGGCTCCAACTCAAAAAAAAAAAAAAAATATTCAGTACACCATGTTATAAACAGATGTGCTGTCATTCAGGCTTTGTTGTTCCATTTACAGAGCACAGGCAGAGTAGGTTTATTCTAATTCTTTAGGGCCCTAGGATCTTCACGCTGACAAGTGAGCGCTGGCTTCAAGTTAACAGCACCAGCTGCATTAGCCCCTAACAAGAAGGTCAGCCTGCCCTTTGAAGCCAGGCACTGACTTCTCTCTAGCTATGAAAGTCCAAGATGGCATCTCCAGTGTTTTGTCTACACTGAAAATTTGTTTAGTGTAGCCACCTTCATCAATGATCTTAATTAGATTTTCTTCAGAACCTGCAGCAGCTTCTATATCAGCAACTGCTACTTCACCTGCACTTTTATGTTATGGAGACAGCTGCTTTCCTGAAACCTCATGAACCAATCTTTAGTGTCAAACTTTTATTCTGCAGCTTCCTTGCCTCTCATAGAATTGAAGAGAGTTAGGACTTTGCTCTGAATTAGGCTTTTGCTTAAGGAAATGTTGCCAGTCTGATCTTCTATTCAAACCACTAAAACTCGTTTCCATTATCAGCAATAAAGTTGTTTCATCTTCCTATCATTCATGTATACATGTAAGCAGTACTTTTAAAAGTTTAAAAACTTTTCCTTTGCATTCACAACTTGGCTAACTGATACAAGAGTCCCAGTTTTCAGTCTATCTTGACATTTGATGCACCTTCCTTACTAGGCTTAATCATTTCTAGTTTTTGATTTAAAGTGAAAGCCATGTGACTTTTCCTCTCACTTGATCACTTAGAGGTCATTGTAGGATTATTAACTGATCTAAGTTCAATATTGTTGTGTTTTAGGGAATAGGGAAGCCCAAGGAGGAGAGACATGGGGAAATGGCCAGTTAGGAGAGCAGTCAGAACACACACAACATTCATCGATTGTTTGCCATATTATACGGGCATGATTCATGGTACCTCAAAACAATTAAAATTGTAACATCAAAGATCATTGATCACAGGTCACCATAAGAGATACAATAATGAAAATGTTTAAAACACTCCAAGAATTACTGAAATATGGCACAGAGATGAAAAAGTAAGCACATGTTGTTGGAAAAATGGTGCCCACAGACATGTTCATTGCAGGGTTGCTACACAAGCCTGCAATGTGTATCAAAATGCAATAGCTGCAGAGAGTAATAAAGTGAAGCGCAATAAAGCAAGGTGTGCATACATTTTTTAAAGGTCAAACTGGCAACTTTTATGTTGCATATAGTTTACTGCAATTTTAAAAAGTTGATTTACCAGAAATTTTAAACTTTTATAAGTTTTAAACCACAATTTTTAAAAGTTGACTTAGTTAGCATACATAGGTTAGGGAAATCCATTTGCCAATAAGAAATTTGAAAATTTTTCATTAATTGTGTTAGTGCTAAATTAACTTGCCAAAGATGGGGGTCCACTATGTAACTGAAAGTTTGGAGTGGCCAGTTACTGCTGCATTATTCTTTAGGAGATTCTATACATAAGCTATACAAACAAGATTAACAGTATAATAATAATACATTTTCTTTGTATTTGTACCCTTGAAATCAATATATGTAGAGCTAGGTCATAGCACTTTGCTAAAAAGATTGAACTGCTTCCACATATCAAGGAGGCCCCAATGGCTTATATTATGGTATACTCTTACTAAAATGACAGACTGTCTGAACCCACTGAACTTGACTGCAGGGGAAAGAAAGAGCATTACAGAAATGTTCAAGGTAATAAACTCATACAAATTTATTTATTTATTTATTTATTTTTCTGAGTTGGAGTCTCACTGTCACCCAGACTGGAGTGCAGTGGCCACTCCCAGCCACTGCAGCCTCGACCTGCTGGGCTCCGGCTATCCTTCTGCCTCAACCTTCCAAGTAGCTGGAACTACAGGTGTGTGCTATCACGCCCTGCTAATTTTTTGATTTATTGTAGGGACAAGGTCTCACCAAGTTGCCCAGGTGGGTCTCGAACACACGGGTTCAGGCAATCCACTCACCTCAGCCTCCCAAAGCATGGGATTACAGGCTGAGCCATCGAGCCCGGCTTTCATACAAATTTAAGTGAGACATGTAGAGTACGAAGAAAACAAGTAGAGACATATAGTATGTTCCATATTACATGACCTAAACTCAGCAAAGTTACCAATTTTGAATAAGTGCAGTTCCACAGAACTCTTTGGTTAAAAAAAGGCACAATTTCAGAAAAGGTTCATTTTTTTTTTATTTTGGGGGGAGTCAAAGTCTCACTTTGTCACCCAGGCTGGAGGGCACTGTCACACCCTCAGCTTCTGCAGTCTCAGCCTGCAGGGATCAGGCAACCTTTGCGACTCAGTTTCCAAGTAGCTGGATCTACAAACACATGCCACCATACCCGGCTAATTTTTTGATTTATTGTAGAGACAAGGTCTCGCCAAGTTGTCCAGGCTGGGTTCACTACTTTTGATGAGTACAGACTCTATGTTTTCATTTAAGTTGTTACCAGTGGAGTGTAAACCTCAAAGTAAACTCAAATTCCAAGCATTTGCCCTAACAGTAGGAGTCAGTTTCAAGAGTATTCTGATAGGGCTGGGCTCGGTGGCTCAGTCTGTAATTCCAGCACTTTGGGAGGTGGAAGTGAGTGGATTGCCTGAGCCCGCGGGTTTGAGACCCGCCTGGGCAACTTGGTGACACCTCATCTCTACAACAAATCAAAAATTAGCCGGGTGTGGTAGCGCACACCTGTAGTTCCAGCTACTGGAAGGCTGAGGTGGAAGGATCGCTGGGGCCCAGCAGGTCGAGACTGTGGTAGCCGGGAGCAGCCACTGCACTCCAGTCTGGGCGGCAGAGTGAGACTCCGACTCAGAAAAACCCCACAAAAACAAAACAACAAAAAAAAGAGTATCAGAGTAGAAAACAAACTGAACCAATCAAGAACACCTAGAAGTTTGGAAACTAACATGCAAATCCAAAAACCACCACAAAATGTGTTTATTTGTTTTGTTTTGCTTTTTTAAGAGACAGGATCTTGTTGTGTTGTCCATCATTATAACTCACTACAGCCTTTAACTCCTGAGTCCAAGTGATCCTCCAGCCTCAGTTTCCCCAGTAACTAGGACTAACTACAGGTATGTGCCACCATGCCCTGCTAAATTTTCTTTTTTTGTAGAGATAGGGATCACACTATGCTGCCCAGGCTGGTCCTGAACTCTTGGTCTCCAGCAATCTTTCTGCTTCAGCCTCACTCTGCACTGGAATTACAGGCCTGAGCCACCATGCCCAGCCTACTTGATTCTTTAAAAGAAAATTTTCTCAAAAAATGCTGAGACAGCCAGGCTTGGTGGCTCAGCCTGTAATCCCGCGCCTTTGGGAGGCTGAGGTGAGTGGATTGCCTGAGCCCACGGGTTCGATACCCGCCTGGGCAACTTGGCAAGACTTCATCTCTATAATAAATCAAAATGAGCCGGGTGTGGTAGCGCACGCCTGTAGTTCCAGCTACTCGGAAGGTTGAGGCGGAAGGATCGCCGGAGCCCAGCAGGTTGAGGCTGCGGTGGCTGGGAGCGGCCACTGCACTCCAGTATGAGCGACAGAGTGAGACTCCAACTCCAAAAAAAAAACATGCTGGGACAAGCAAATTCACAATAATGCAAATTTGAAGTCTGATTGAGATGCAAACCAAATGAAAGTCCTTAGCTGATTTTCAACAATCAATATAAATAATCTTTTAAATCTTTAAATGCTGTTCATTCTTCACAAGCAACAAAGCTGTAACAAAGCTCATTCATTTCTTTGCAAATATTTCCTGGATATTTATTCTGTGTAGAGTACTAAGTCCTGGAGATAGAAATGCAGCAATAGATAAGCCAGAGCTCCTTTCTTCATGGGGCTTACGGTCTAGTGAATACAAGAAACATTAAATAATTTCACAAATATTTAATTAATTATACTATGGTAAGTGCTATGAAAGAAAGTGCACTAAACTGAGATGCAGTCTTCACCTGGCTGTAGGATCCTGGACCTCGGCTTCTTTGTAAAACTAGGGGGGTACAGCTGAATGATTTCTTAAGATCACTTTAAATTTAAAAATTTTATAAATATGAAAGTATGGAGCTTTGCTTCCAGCAAACCTTTGTCAGAAGATTTTCACTTACATAATCTATAAGTAACGTAGTCCCCATCTCCCAATACATGAAGATTTTTGGCACAAAAAACATAACGTGAGATGGGAAGTCATTTTTAAGTTGAAACTCTGTATATGCAATATTGTGATGTTCTAAACTAGCTTATAAAGAATAACTGGGAGAAAAGTATGTCTATTATCAGTATGTATCAGAATTACTTTGAGAAGTTTTAAAAATGCACATTCCCAAGTCCCAACCAAGACCTACTACAGAATATCTGGAGGTCAGGCCTAGGGATGTGCACTTTTGATAAATGTCTCAGGTAATTTTTTTTTAAAACAAAGTTTATTAGAGAGAGAAGGGAGAAAAGAAAGGAGGACATGCCAGAAACTGCCAGGCCATTCTAATATACACTGATGTTTGTTCTACTCAGAGTAGGACAATAATATGAGAAATGGCTTTGGAGTAAGAGATTTTAGGGTAAGGACTATCATACACCTACCTGTGTAGCTTTGTCCCTCATGCAAGGTGCAGCCTGCCCATGACTATCACGAGGCCAGTGCCCGGCCAGATACGGAGCAGCAAGAGTATCCAAGGAAGACGTACGTCGGATAACACTGGAGGGGCTTGAGGAAGGCTGTCGCGTTTTGTCACCTAGATTTAAGCCAAAAATATGTATTTTACCAAAACAGAGTAGAAAGGAAACAAAGTAGAAAGTGCATTTTAAACTATGAAGAAAGGTCTCCAACTTAAATACAGTAGTCCTTACCCTCAGTTGATGCCCAAAACCACAGATGGTCCAAACCCTATATATAGTTTTTTCTACATATACACAAAACTATGATAAAGTTTAACTTAAAAATCAGGAACAGTAAGAAATTAGCAACAATAATCACTAGAACAATTTTAACAATATGCCAGCATCACTACTGCTGTACTTAACGGCCATTAAGTAAAACAGTGGTCTCTTGAATACCAACACTGCAATACTGACAGTTGAGCCAATAACCAAGACTAAAAAGAGATAGACAGGTGGGGGGCATAGACAGTGTGCACAGGCAGGACAAACGATGATGCCCGTACTGGTGCTGGGAGGAGTCGGACAGTGAGAAATTTCACTGGCCTACTCAGAAAGGCATGTCATTTATGGTGTATAATTTTTTTATTTCTGGAATTTTTATATTCAATCTTTTCAGACCAAAGTTGACCACACGTACCTGAAACCACAGAAAGTGAAACCATGAATAACTGTATACATAAACAATAAAAAGGAAAAAACTACTGATACACACAGATATTTAGATGAGTCTCTGAAAATGCATACTGAATAAAAAGTCAGTCCCACCCTAGGCCTCCCAAACCAAAATTGTTAAGGGTGGGCGCCAAGGAATCTTCCACAGAAACAATGTATCCCTCACAGCCAACAAATTATTATCCAAATTTTCTTTTTGTTCATAAATTAAACCTGGGTTTTATACTATTCAGGGAACTATAATAGCAAAATGAAAATAAGACAGAAAGGTAAAAATCATGGGGAAATAAAAAAATTAGTGACAATCTTCATATTATTTCATAACATTTGAAAGTTATGCTGGGCCAGACACAGTGCCTCAAGCCTGCAATTCCAGCATTTTGGGAGGCCAAGGTGAGGGGAATGCCTGAACCCACGGTTTCGAGACCATCCTGAGCAACTTGGTGAGACCTCATCTCTATAATAAAACAAAAAATTAGCCAGGCATGGTAGCGCGTGCCTGTAGTTCCCACTACCTGGAAGGCTGAGACGGAAGGATTGCCTGAGCCCAGCAGGTCAACGCTGCTGTGGCTGTGAGCATGTCACTGTTACTCCAGCCTGGGTAACATATGGGACTCCAACTCAAAAAAAAAAAAGTAATACTGGGTTTGGCGCAGTGGCTCGTGTCTGTAATGCTAGCCCTTTGGGAGGTGGAGTTGGGAGTACAGCTAGAGCCCAGCCATTTGAGGCCAGCCTGGGCAACAGACTGAGACTTCATCTCCACAACAAAATACAATAAAATAATGAGCCAGGCATGGTAGCAGCTACTTGGGATGCTGAAATGGAAGGATTGCCTGAGTCCAGGTGGACAAGGCTGCCGTAAGCCATGATTGTTGTGATCATGCCATTGTATTCCAGCATGGGTGAGAGAGTGAGACTCCAACTCAAAATAATAATAATAATAATAATACAGCTACTTTATGATAACTTAGTATTAGCCCTAAGGATAGCTCTAAAGACAAATTAACACCTTGCTAATTGATCCCTGGCCTTTGAGATTATCCTAGGAGATACATAAACCAAAATGTTCACTGTATTACAACAGTAAAATAATATAATAGCAAGAAAGCAAATGCAATAACTAATGTGTGGAAAGATACATATAATAAAATAGATACTGGCCAGGTACAGTGGCTCACGTCTATAATCCCAGCACTTTGAGAGGCTAAGGTGGGGGGAATCCCTTGAAGCAGGAGTTTAAGACCAGCCTAGGCTACATAGTCAGACCCCACCTCTAAAAGTAAAAATTTTAAATTAAAAAAAAAAGTGAGTCTTGCAATAACATAACTGTTCTCACTATGTAGGAAGACAAAACATTGTAAACAACCAATTCTAGTTAATAATGCAATAACTAATTTGATCGATATTTTTCACTTATAAAAACTTAAATTTTGACAATAAAGGCCAATTTTGGTAAGTCAAAATAAACTTTAAGTATCAATTAACATCATACATGTGATTTAATAATTGGAAAATAAATTTATGCATTATTTTCTGTTAGAAGTAATTCTAATTAACCTTACCCCATAGCTGCCAGTGAAAAAAGAAAATGTACTACGTTAAAATCATATTCAATGCACACAATCCTCTAAGATTAAGCCCCCAAATCTTAGAATGGCATTAAATAAATTATTTCCAATGCAGAAAAGGCATTTGATAAAATTCAACATCCCTTCATGATAAAACCCTCAGCAAACTAGGCACTGAAGAAACATATCTCAAATAATAAGAGCCATATATGACAAACCCGCAGCCAACATCATAAATTTTTTTTTTTTTTTGAGTTGGAGTCTCACTTTGTCATGGCTATTGTGGTCTCAACCTTCTGGGCTCAGGTGATCAATTCAACATGGAAAAAAAAAACATCAAAAAGTGGGCAAAGGACATAAATAGACACTTCTCAAAAAAAAGATATATGGGCAATTAACAAACATATGAAAATATGCCCAACATCACTAATCAGAGACTCCAACTCAAAAAAAAAATTCGATCTCTATAAGATGTTAATATGTTTATTTTATTTTTTGAGTTGGAGTCTCACCCTGTTACCCAGACTGGAGTTCAGTGGCACACTCATGGCCACTGCAGCCTTGGCTTGCTGGGCTCAGGCAATCCTTCGCCTCAGCCTTCCAAGTAGCTGGAACTACAGGCGCGCTACTACTCCCTGCTAATTTTTTTATTTATTGTAGAGACAAGGCCTCACCAGGTTGCCCAGGCTGGTCTCAAACCCCTGGACACAGGCAAGCCTCTCGCCTCAGCCTCCCAAAGTGCTAAGATTACTGGCTTGAGGCACTGCGCCTGGCCTTAATTTTGAATTTTTATAGGGAGCGTATTGTCATACAGTACACTGTCACAGAAAATATATGAAAACAACAGAAACGTTTTTAAAACAAGTTATTGATTTTCTGAAATCATAAAATGCCTAAAAATACGAAATGACTACATTAGATGTTGAGACTTTTCATGGTTTATATCTCAGGTTGGGAAACTATAGCCCACAGGCCAAATATGTCCCAAATGTTTTTGTATGGCCAACAAGTTAAAAATTGTACATTTTTAAATGGTTGGGGTAAAAAAATCAAAACATTTTGTGATACACAAAAGTTGTATGAAATTTAAATTTCAGTGTCCATATATAAAGTTTATTGGAACATAGACATGCCCATTCATTGTCCATGGATGCTTCTATACTATGGAGAAAGAGTTAAGCACATGCAGCAGAGACCTTCTGTGGCCCTCTCACTGCCACTCAGCACTAGCAGTCACAGTGGCAAAGTTATGCTATGCATATCACTTATGGGATGAAAAGTCACAGTCAAAGATGACATGTAAAATTTCATTACAAAGCAGCATTAAGAGATGAGCATTTGCAACTGATTGATGATGTAAAACATTAACTTTGAACCAGAATTACATGAAACATTATCCTCCTAAAAAGTATTATTTCTACTCACTACAACTGCATTACTAAAGAAGTAGTCAATTATTAATATTTTGAAATTTCACCAGTTAAAAATTTGTGAAAAAGGACTTTCTCTCTGGTTATGTTAGTGCCTACATAATATATGTCATCTTGCCTCACGGCATACAAAGTTTAAAATTCGACAATCTGGAGCAATACAGAAAAAGTTTGCCGACCTCTGGTTTCTGCTATATTCCTTTATGTCTTGGTTTCTATGCTAGAACACCCTTATATCTCTATTTTTTGGCAAGCATATAAGCTTAGCTAATTTACGCTTAACTTCCATAGGGTTTTAAAAATATTGAATATATATATAATATTATATTAGAATGCCATCATTCTAGTTCTATATGATGGCAAATACCTTGCCTCTTCTTAATACCATGTGTGTATGAAAACACTTTTTGACACCTCCCTTCTAATTGTATTATGTTATTGTCTTGATAAGGGTCTTGCACAGTTACAAGTATGAAAGTTCAGTTGCTGGTTATGTGACCCACATAACAAAAGATCCAATTCCATTAAGACAACAGTTATGGCAGCTGTGTTGCTGATAATCATAAAAGCTGCTTCACAGATATGCTTCAGATACATAATTTGCTTTCAAAAATGGCACAATTATTTCACTAAAACAATGTCCAATTGTTATAAATGCTAACCATCTCTTCATGTACAGTCTTCCTTTTATAGTATATTTTGATTCAACACAACAGAAAATAAATGTAGTACATACCCGTAAGTTCAAGAAAACTTATTCTCACATTATTAACTTGGCTAGTGAAACGCAATAAATATACATGCTCACACTTTTTTCTCTAACTAAAAAATTAAGCCCTACTGTGATAGTCACAAGACAACTATTCTCAGCTATTGGGGGAAAAAGGCACACACACAATGTAAACTAGTATACATTCATTAAACCAAATTGCTAAAACCTATCTGGCACTTTTCTTCACTAACTATGACTGTTGCTGCTTTAGCTGCCTACCAGTATACTAATCAAACAGATCTTAATAATGGGTCTGGTTTCATTTTACAATTTTTTAAATTAAAAATCCAAGAGTTAACTTTTCAATTATGCCTCCCAAGATTAGAATTATTATTCCTATAATGAAGAACTGATGAATTATACAAAAATTATACAAATTATGTAAAAATACTAAACATTTCTTTTTCTTTCTTTCTTTCTTTCTTTTTTTTTTTTGAGTTGGAGTCTCACTCTGTCGCCCAGACTGGAGTGCAGTGGCCGCTCCCGACCACTGCAGCCTCGACCTCCTGGGCTCCGGCTATCCTTCCGCCTCAGCCTTCTGTGTAGCCGGAATTACAGGCGCGCGCTACCACGCCCGGCTAATTTTTTTGATTTATTGTAGAGATGAGGTCTTGCCTGACCAGCGGGTCTCGAA